TCTTTTCAGTTAAATTCTTGCATCAACGCGTTAAATACTGTGGTTATTTATATATAAATAATTAAAATTACTATATTTATTGTTACAGAAAATAAAAATGATCTTCTTGCAATTGCTAAAAGTTTAAATACAAATAATCCACGTATTGCTCTGGAAAACATAAAATTAATTGTCAATAATAACAATAGTAAGTATTACAGTATTATAATTTTAAAACTACATGCAATATATTGCATTTCTATTTTTTACAGTAATTATACTTTTTTTGTAGAAACTACAGAAATACCACAAAATGCCTGCATTATCAATATGAATTATACTAAAAAAATACTAATACTAACAATTTAAGTAATGCTATTGATTTTGACAATAATGTAGTATCTTTTCTTGATAATGGACAAGGCCACAATGCAAATGATCAAAGTAACGTCAATTATCTTATAAAACACGTTGATTCTAATAACGGATTTAAAACGATAATTATTGGTAATACTGATAATTATACAAATAATAATGCCGATAATAATGGAAATGATAGCATTGTAGATAATATCATTAATGACAATAATTCTGCGAATAGTACTGATTTTGATAAGAACGTTACATTTTCTATTGAACATGATCACACTGCAATAAATGATGAAGGTTGTGTCACTAATAATGCTAAGAAAAATGTTGGTTGTGATAATGCTATGATAATTCCTAGTGAGTCTAATAATGAGCAGAATAGAGTAAAGGCTACTAAACTTAACATTACATTTTCCTGTAATGACAGAAATCATAATGTAGTAGATAGTACTATTAATGCTAACAATTCTGCAAATGATACTGATTTTGATAATGTGATATCTTCTTATGATAATAGTAATGGTTGTAAAACGGTAGATAGTAATATCAGTATCAATAATTCTACGAATGATAATGATTCTAATATTGATATATCACTTTTGTGCAATAATAATAACATTAATGCTAATAATTCTAAGAATAACTGTGAGTTTGATAATAATGTGATACTTTCTTGTGATAATGACAATAACTGTCATGTAAATACTGATATTGATATTAATTTTATAAACAGTAATAATTCTCATAATAATAATCTGACATTTTCCTGTGATAATGACAATTTCAATGTGTCTGAAACGGGTATTGTTCTCAAAGATGTCATGATATTTTCTTTTAACGATGATAATAGTTCTAGTATCTTAAATGATCTCACTAACGCCAAAGCTTCTATAAATTATAATGATAATGATAATAATATGATTTCCTGTGATGATGAAAATATTAATGACAATATTGCTTGTGCAAACACATTAAGTAATGATAGTGATAATAATATGATTTCCTGTGATGATATTAATGTCAATATTGCTTCTGCAAACACATCAAGTACTTTAGAATATCTACCTTCAGCATCGGAAATTACAATTGACAAAAAAACTACGGAACATGAAAGCTTCCGCAATAACGTATCTCCAACTAATAATAAAAATTCTTCAGAATCACTGATAGATCTTTCTTCTATCAATACATTTGGTTGTAGAGAAGACAATTTATATGTTCCATTTTCTCAACCTAAGGGACATCAAAAAAAAATTTTTGCTACTATTGCAAAAAGTTTTAGAGTAAAATTGCACGTCATTTAGAAAACGTGCATAAATTGGAACCTGAAGTAAAGAAATTTGTATTATTACCAAAAGGTGATCATATTTTTCAATTCTGTATAATTATTTAAGTTTATAGTATATTTTTTTATAAATATTGATTATTTTTTAAATATAATATTAATATGTTATAATTTTTATTAATATATTTACATTATATACATACATTATTTAATATTCTCATTGCAGGTAATTTAGAAAGAAAACAAATTATAGAGTCTATTAGAAAGAAAGGGAATTTCATACACAATACGGATCCTTCCTTAAATACGGGAGAATTAATTGTTTGTCGAAGGCCTGCCAAAAATAGTTGCAAAAAATGTTTTCATTGCAATAATATTGTTAATATTGAGCACAACAGCACGTAACCTTTTTATTTGATTTTTAACAGGTTAATATTAACTTGAGTCGTAAAAATCTGAAGTTTTTACTCAGCACTGCTTTTTAATTTTCTTTTCAGTTAAATTCTTACATCAGCGCGTTAATTTCTGATTATTTATATCCAAATAATTGAAATTACTATATTTATTGTTACAGAAAATAAAAATGATTGTCTGGCAATTGCTAAAAATTATTAGAAAAGTTAAGCTAAAAGTAAGCTAAAAGTCTTTCCATCTATGGAAGACATAAAAAAATTACACTCATATCTAAATAACGAAAGAAAATTATTGTATGCAAAACTTCAGAAGAAATTTAAATACGAAACATGGCTAGAACTTGCAACAGTTATATCAATGCAAGTTTTTAATAGAAGAGCAGGAAAAATAGAACGGGTTACTATTGAAGATTTTAATACTCGCGAAGGTATAACGAAAAAGACCCATTTAAATTTATATAAATCATTAGGCACAAAATTACAGCAGCTAAAAATTATTATTACTATTATTTATTTATAAATTTTATTTGTGCGTGTAATTAAATTATATATATGGTATATACATGCAAAATAATTACCCACATATAACTTTTGTATAGTTGCTGATAAATACGTAAGATTCTTAATTCGTAGGAAATTGGGACGTACAGTGCCTGTGATTTTAGACATGGAATTAGTTCAATGTATTGAACTTATATTGAACTAGCGAAAGATGCAAATGTTTTTGAAAAAAATCCGTATCTGTTTGGCATACCTAGTAGTACCAAACGCCATTTCAAATATTTAAGAGCGTGTATCCTTATGCGATATTTTCTAAAAAATGTGATGCACAAATACTACATTCTTTAAGAGGTACTGAATTACGTAAACATATTGCTACCACATGCATTACGTTAAATTTATCTGACAATGAAGTGGATGATTTGGCGAACTTTATGGTTATATCATATTCATACTTTGATTTAATAATTTCCAAACGTAACGTTTCATTGTTGCATTAGCCTTAATTTCATAAGTTTTGGTTTATAAGGACTTTTTTCTTCTAATTAAATAGATATATTAAAAATGCACAAAAGTTGAAAAAAGGCATACAATAATTAATATATTTTATACAAAAATTAATATATAAAAAGAACTTGTGGCATATATATAATAAGATAAATAGTGTATATACCTGAATCACTATTATTAGATTATGGGACATCACGAGAAAATTCATAAACGCCATTATCGGCAGTCAATAGCAACTATAGAGATAGTTCGTATGACAAAATTTCTTGAAGCAGCATTAGATGAAAATGAGCAACAGCAATCTAATAATAGTGATTCAGGTATATACACTATTTATCTTATTATATATATGCCACAAGTTCTTTTTATATATTAATTTTTGTATAAATATATTAATTATTGTATGCCTTTTTTCAACTTTTCTGCATTTTTAATATATCTATTTAATTAGAAGAAAAAATCAGACAAAAGTCCTTATTAACCAAAACTTATGATATTAAGGCTAATGCAACAATGAAACGTTACGTTTGGAACCTATTAAATCAAAGTATGAATATGATATATTCATTGAAATGGATTCAAATTGAGAATACGTTTCATTATTGTGTTCATTCTGCTTTACTCAATTTTTATGCATCGACATCCGCGGTTGTAGCATATATTAGCCCTTAGTTTCAAGAATTGGTTTACACATATATATACATATATAATAATTAAGGTACAAACAAAGATACTTCGAGTGCAGAATCGGAAAACGATGCCGAAACATGTATGATAAGTTCACGTAAGCTTTCTTTATTACGAACAGAAAGGAAATTACCTAAATTTCCTACCATAACAGATGGACAACAAAAATCTGTAAAAAAGAAAATCATGCATCAAAACCATACAATAGTGAATAATGACAATGATTCTGACGAAACTTATTCCCCAAAGATAAAGAAACATCGCAGTAGTAAGTTTATTTTTCATTTTCACATATTCTATTCAGTTTTTATAAATTTATCAAATCAGAGTAAATTTTCTCTTTAATATTATTTAGTATTATATTTAGTATTATATTTTAGTATTATATTTAGTATTATATTTTAGTATTATATTTAGTATTATATTTAGTATTATAATTGTGACTATGTCAAAGTATATTAATATATTAAGCTTTGTGATCATGTCTCTCAGAACAATGCGTGGATTATTTCTATTTAAAGTATTTAAACTATTAACAATATCCAAAAAATCGTCTTTACTTTCTATAAAAATAAAGTAATTTTAATTATTTAAATATAAGTAATCAGAAATTAACGCATTGATGCAAGAATTTAACTGACAAGAAAATTAAAAAGCGCTGTGTAAAAACTTTAGAATTTTTACAATTTATATTAATATTAACCTCCCAAAAATCAAATTAATATGTTATGTGCTGTTGTATGCACTTAATACGTACAATATTATTGCAATGAAAACATTTTATATTACTTTAAATAAATATATAATAATGATACTATTCTGTACAATTATACATATAATACATGTTTTTCTTAAAATTCCTATTAACTGAACAATTAATGTGTATCGTCTTGTGTTTATATTTATCACATAATAATTACAAAAATTTTAAAAATTTGAATACCTAAAAGATTATAACTTAACGACATTTCCCATTATGTAAAAAAATGCAAATTAAAAAAAATTATTTAAATTAATTTTGAAATATTTATCTTCAGAAGAATTGCAGAAAATGTTTACACTCTTAGTTCTAGTTTCTTAATAATAATTGTTAGAATCCATGAGGGATTACATAGAACCCATAATTAAACATTGGATTTACGAAGATAATTTTTCAATTTGAGGTACTTAAGAATTTTTTATTCAAAAGCAAAGCAAATGAGAAAGTAAGAAAAAAAGACTAATTTCACAGAGATAAATAAATATCAAGTCATTAATACAGGAACAATTGCTTTCTTGAATATTACAGATAAGAAGTACCTTCGCATTGTGTAGCACAGCTCTGACTAAGCAGAACAATTGTCTCTGCCCAGTGCTGAGATTACTACCACCTTCATCCAAGACTGCATCCAAACCATCCATTCGATGAACTAAAGAATGCACTTTACATTTCTCGAAGGTTTTGTATATATGTGCATATAGGTATACTGATCCAACGGATCCACATTCTCTCGATTAGTACCCGAGGAAAGAAACGGATTCTGAGGTATAATTGCTAAACGGGATCTGGAATGTTTTTCTTTTCTTTACAACTGTTAACATACAATGATTATTTTTTGCAAGTTTATGAATACCTTAATGTGTTCAGTTGTAACGTTTGAATATTCACGTTGTCGATTAATATACTCCCAGAACTGATCTCTGTCAGTCTAAACAACGAAGCTAGTAACGAACTTTTTCCAGCACCGGTGCGACCAACGACGTCTATTTTTTCCGCTGGTCGAGTAACGAATGTTATCTCTCAACGATGGCACTAAATGGTTCCTGCGAATATAATTACAAAAATTTCTTTTACCAAATGTTACAATCGTGCATTATCTTTATCAAAAAATTTGAAAATATTACCTGTACATCAAAACAACTTTTTTAATTCCACAACACTTTGACTAGGCCACGCGTAAGGTTGATTAGTGCCCATTGTATTTTCAGTCGGCACATGATCTAAATACTGTTTAACTCGTTCCACCGCAATCTCTCTCTCTCTCTCTCTCTCTCAGTCTCAGTAAAACCAGCGCGATGACGCGACACGCGATATGCGACGAATCGCGAGAATAGGATTTTCTACCTATTCATATAAACGCGATGCGCGATTACGAAACCTAACATCATTTATTGCATATTTACCATTTATTGCAATTTTATAATTTAATGACAATATCACTCTCGGATCGATGTCGTTGCACGTTTATTTATAACCAAAGAGATCCTCTTGTTTATAACGACATCGCATCTATAGATAGGATCGCAGTAAATCGCTCGTCGCGCGCTACAAATCTTCAAACTTGGTCAACTTTTTTGCGATGTCGCACTCTATAGTGCGACGGATATGACGTGCGGAAAAGCTGCACGCTCATTGGATATCGCGCATCGCGTGTCGCGTCATCGCGCTGGTGTGCAGGAGCCATAAAGGTGCCTTTACATGCTAGCATCAAGCGTCAAGCATCTACGTTTGCGCAGATGTCACATAAGATAAAAAATAACTTCTTGTGGCTAATAATATTAATAAATATAATAAATATAATGATTATAATTAATATTATATTAATTTTCAGTACTAATATGTGCTAATATTCATTTGATCTCGACTTATTCATCGTATGATCTCGTATGATTCATCTTATTATTAGCAGCAAGAAGCTGAAATCTATTTTATTTAACATTTGCGCAATGAGTTTTTACGCCGACACGTTTGATAAATATAAAAAGCATCTTTATATCCAAATAATCCAATAGGATCGCATTGGAGCGAGAAGTATGTTGGGGGAGAGCCTGCTATGCGAACAAACTTATAATTTGGCGGGACCGGCACCTTCCATATTTATTAGCAATATTGCATAAGATATTGCGTAATATATATAAGATTTCGGTTTACATTTAATGAAAATCGTTTCGTTTCGTTTGTACGCGATTGCATCACATTAAGTGAAAAATGTCACAATATATATTATTTTTTGTAATTATCATAAATATCATGTAAATATAAAACACAAGAGAAGACGCGTAAAATGTCCAGTTAGGAATCGTAAAAAAACATGTATTATACGTACAATTGCACAGAATAGTAAGTATCACCATTTTATATTTATTTAAAATAATATAAAATGTTTACATTGCAATAATATTGTTAATATTGAGCACAACAGCACGTAACCTTTTTATTCGATTTTTAACAGGTTAATATTAACTTAAGTCGTAAAAATCTAAAGTTTTTACTCAGCACTGCTTTTTAATTTTCTTTTCAGTTAAATTCTTGCATCAACGCGTTAATTTCTGTGGTTATTTATATATAAATAATTGAAATTACTATATTTATTGTTACAGAAAATAAAAATGATATTCTTGCAATTGCTAAAAGTTTAAATACAATAATCCACGTATTGCTCTGGAAAACATAAAATTAATTGTCAATAATAATAATAGTAAGTATTATAGTATTATAATTCTAAAACTACATGCAATATATTGCATTTCTATTTTTTACAGTAATTATACTTTTTTGTAGAAACTACAGAAATACCACAAGATGCTTGCATTATCAATATGAATTATACTAAAAAGAATACTAATACTAACAATTTAAGTAATGCTATTGATTTTGACAATAATGTAGTATCATTTCTTTATAATGAACAAGGCCACAATGCAAATGATCAAAGTAACATCAATTATCTTATAAAACACGTTGATTCTAATAACGGATTTAAAACGAAAATTATTGTAATACTGATAATTTTACAAATAATAATGCCGATAATAATGGAAATGATAGCATTGTTGTAGAAAATATTAATGACAATAATTCTGCGAATAGTACTGATTTTGATAACAACGGGACATTTCTAATGAACATGATCACACTGCAATAAATGATGAAAATTGTGTAACTAATAATTCTAAGAAAAATGTTGGTTGTGATAATGCTATGATAATTCCTAGTGAGTCTAATAATGAGCAGAATAGAGTAAAAGCTACTAAACTTAACATTACATTTTCTGTAATGACAGAAATCATAATGTAGTAGATAGTACTATTAATGCTAACAATTCTGCAAATGATACTGATTTGATAATGTGATACTTCTTATGAGAACAATAATGGTTGCAAAACAGTACATAGTGATATCAATAATTCTGCGAATGATAATGATCCTAATATTGATATATCATGTTCTAATGAACATGATCACAATGCAATAAATGATGAAGGTTGCATCACTAATAATTCTAACAAATTGTTGGTTGTGATAATGCTATGATAATTTCTAGTAAGTCTAATAATGAACAGAATAGAGTAAATGCTACTAAACTTAACATTACATTTTCCTGTAATGACAGAAATCATAATGTAGTAGATAGTACTATTACTGCTAACAATTCTGCAAATGATACTGATTTTGATAATGTGATACTTTCTTGTGATGATGATAACTGTTATGTAAATACTGATATTGATATTAATTTTATGAACAGTAATAATTCTCATAATAATAATCTTACATTTCCTGTGATAATGATAATTTCAATGTGTCTGAAACGGGTATTGTTCTCAAAGATGTCATGATATATTTTTAATGATGATAATAATTCTATTATGGTAAATGATCTCACTAACGCCAAAGCTTCTATAAATTATAATAATAGTGATAATAATATGATTTCCTGTGATGATGAAAATATTAATGACAACATTGCTTGTGCAAACACATTAAGTAATGATAGTGATAATAATATGATTTCCCGTGATGATATTAATGACAATATTGCTTCTGCAAACTCATCAAGTATTTTGGAATATGTACCTTCAGCATTGGAAATTACAATTGACAAAGAAATTACGGAACATGAAAGCTTCCGCAATAAAGTATCTGCAACTAATGATAAAAATTCTTCAGAATCACTGATAGATCTTTCTTCTATCAATACATTTGGTTGTAGAGAAGACAATTATATGTTCCATTTTCTCAACCTAAGGGACATCAAAAAAAAAATTTTTGCTACTATTGCAAAAAGTTTCAGAGTAAAATTGCACGTCATTTAGAAAACGTGCATAAATTGGAACCTGAAGTAAAGAAATTTGTATTATTACCAAAAGGTGATCATATTTTTCAATTCTGTATAATTATTTAAGTTTATAGTTATTTTTTTATAAATATTGATTATTTGTTAAATATAATATATTAATATGTTATAATTTATTAATAATTTACATTATATATACATTATTTACATTATATATACATTATTTACATTATATACATTACTTAATATTCTCATTGCAGGTAATTTAGAAAGAAAACAAATTATAGAGTCTATTAGAAAAAAAGGGAATTTCATACATAATACGGATCCTTTCTTAAATACGGGAGAATTAATTGTTTGTCGAAGGCCTGCCAAAAATAGTTGCAAACAGTACAAGATTTTATAAGTTGCGCAAAGTGTAAAGGATGGTTCACTAAAAATAATATCAGGCATCATTTTAAAGAATGTGTAGGAAAATTGAAAGGCAGAAATGTACAAGTTTTAGGACGTGCTTTGATGGGCAGAATTCATGAATGTGCAATTGAGACAGTAAGAAAATTTTTATTCCCAGTTTTGAGAAAAGATGATGTTACACAAAGTATTAAATATGATAAATTTATTTATAAATATTATGTATAAATATTATTTGTTTACAAATATTATAATAAAATACACACAATATGGTATATGATGCAAAATAATAATCCATATATAACTTTTGTATATAGGTTGCTGATAAATACGTAAGATTCTTAATTCGTGGAAAATTGGGACGTACAGTGCCTGTGATTTTAGACATGGTATTAGTTCAATGTGTTGAACTAATTTTGAACCAGCGAAAGGATGCAAATGTTCCTGAGAAAAATCCGTATGTGTTTGGCATACCTAGTAGTACCAAACGTCATTTCAAATATATTAAGAGCGTGTATCCTTATGCGATATTTTTCTAAAAAATGTGATGCACAAATACCACTTTAAGAGGTACTGAATTACGTAAACATATTGCTACAACATGCATTACGTTAAATTTATCTGACAATGAAGTGGATGATTTGGCGAACTTTATGGGACATCACGAGAAAATTCATAAACGCCATTATCGACAGTCAATAGCAGCTGTAGAGATAGTTCGTATGACGAAATTTCTTGAAGCAGCATTAGGTGAAATGAGCAACAGCAATCTAATAATAGTGATTCAGGTATACACTATTTATCTTATTATATATATGCCACAAGTACTTTTTATATATTAATTTTTGTATAATAAAATATATAATTATTGTATTCCTTTTTTAAACTTTTCTGCATTCTTAATATATCTATTTAATTAGAAGAAAAAATCAGACAAAAGTCCGTATAAACCAAAACTTATGAAATTAAGGCTAATGGTGCCACGATCATGGATGTGTGTTGTAGAAAAAAGTAGTAATAATGAATGCAACAATGCAACGTTACGTTTGTAACCTATTAAATCAAAAGTACTGAATATGATATATTCATTTGGAAGATGGATTCAAATTGAGAATACGTTATTGTGTTCATTTGCTTTACTCAATTTTTATGCATCGAACGTCAGCGGTTGTAGCATATATAGCCCTAGTTT